AAATTAAATGCATTACAAGATACTGCAAATGGGCATGCACACTACAATTTCCTGAACCAAAACCAAACTTTTATTGCTCACGGCTGTCCAAAATGTTAAAACTTTTTGAATTTTTTTGTTTCTGTCTAAAACAAGTTTAATTGTACAAAAGAATCACAATAAGGATTAAGTTGCAGCTATCACAAGAACAACAATTAAAGCAACCATTGTGTGTACTATATTTATTAATTATATCACTATACCGTTTTGAAGGTATAGTCAGTGTTAAAACCTTTTGGTTTTGACTACTGAGGAATGGACATTTAGTCTAAAACATCAAGGTAAATTGCAATAATTATGTGTCAATAAAGCAATAATAAGACACAAACTATCTTCCTCTTCTCCCAACCCACTTCTTTCTGCTCACACTCTAAAATTGTTTGAGAAAAGTTAAAATACTGCTCTTGTAGTGACCAATTCTGTGTGGGGCACCTCCTGACTTCAATGGGAGTTCAAGGTGCTCTATATTTTGCAAATTCAGAACTAAAATAACTTTTTACATAAAAAAGAAAAGATCTGTCCAGTTTTCACACAGAGGCAAAAAAGATGATAAGTTGGAGCCAGTGCAGGGGAGACAGCACCAAATGGAGTGGAATGTGAGACCTTGGGGAAATAGATTTATCAGAATAACATAAAACTGACTTTTCAGAACACTGATATGTGTAAATTCTATACCACTAGATCATTAAACAGCCAACTGATGCTAAGTATCGTCTCTGTCCAATAGTGTGGAAGACTACTAGCTGTTCTTTGAAAGCTTAAATACAGTGCAAGCATAAACAGAAAGAGTCACAGAGTTTAACTCCAGGACAAACCACCAAATGATCTAGTCTGACCTCCTGTAAATGTCAGGCTACAAACACCACCCTTCACTAACCCAACAAAAATTAGACTAAAGTATTCCAGCCCAGAGAAGATTAGAATCTGTGCCACAGACAGAGAATAGGAAGCACTGAGGCATACCAGGGTCTGAGGCCCTTCCAGTAATAGGGAAATGATTAAGTGAGATCTATCTAGATCATCTTGGCCAGTGACTCTCACATGCACACTGCAGAGGAAAGTAAAAAGAAAAAATCACTATCAATCTGGCTGGGGGAAAATTCCTTCCCAACCCAACATATTACCTTTTATTAGAGTCTGAGTATGGGAGTAATCAGGTAAGGCAGGTATAATAGGCAGGGGAAGGCATTGCTTTTCCAAACTGCCAGCCTGGCCTCACCTATACTCCACTCCTAGAACACCTACTGTAGGCGTACAGAGTGTTGCTGTCCCCACGCGTCTGCCCTCCCTGTGCTCCAGGGCCAGGGAGGCTGGGGACACATGCCACCTGTCCTCTCCATGGTCTGAGCCAGGGGAGGCTTAGGCTGTATGCTGCCCTATCTCCCCGTGGTGCTCCAGGGGGCTCAAGGTGGGGTCTTGCCTCTCCCAGGCCTACCTTCACCCACTGCCCATGGGAGTAAGCACCTGAGGGACAGAGAATCCCCAGGACTACCTCAGAGCAGTGACCCACCCAGAATCCTATCTCCAACAGAAGTCAACCCTGATGCTTCAGAAGAATGAGATTAAAAATACTTCCTTTAATGCCCCTTCCTGACCTATTGTCATTTCAGACACCAAGCAAAAAATATAAAATGGAATTGTGTAATAAAATAAATCTTGTCAAGTCTAGTATAAATTAGTGTCTCAGAACAGGAGGCAGAACAATGTTATGACAAGAAAATTAAAAAATAGGGGGAAAGTAGATAGATGGGTGAGGACTAAAGGGAAAGAAACACTGGTTGTCTAGTCTTTGTCATAGAATAGGTACATATCATCCACATGGAAACCCATTTTTCAAGGTGCAAAAATATGGATAACCTGAGAGAATAAACCTTAATAGTCGGAAGTCTTTTAATGACTCAAAATCATCAGTCTTTATACCTTCCCAAAGTGAAATGAATACTATCAACAACTAAACGGGGTGCTACAAATCAGTTGCTAGATGTACAAGCATGCCCACATTCCTAAATAATATGACGCATTATAGACCAGCTAATTCAGTTCATGGAAATATTTACTAAGATTCCAAAGCTAAATTCAGTTAAGTTAAAGAAGGTCAGAAGCAATTAGAAATAGTTCTAGCTGCATTAAAAATATGGCTATGCCTTCCTCTCTTCTGCTCCCAATCCAGCCATATAAGTAAGGGGAAATACTAAAAATGTCCTTAAGTGTTTTATTGAATGAACATGTTGATGTGGAAAATGTAAATATTCTGAATAATACTTCAAATAATAATACTTTACATTTTTGTAATCTCTTCCATTCAGGTATCTGAAAGCATTTTGCAATCATGAATGAATTTTGCTTCACATCATAATATTCATTTGCTAGAGGAGAAAACTGAGGCAGAACCAGATTAAGTGACTTGCCAAAGTCACCTAGCAAACTGGTGGCAGAATGAAGAATAAAAAATACGAGATTTTCAGATGCTTACACCTATACTTTAACCACAAAGACATTATTTCAAAGCAAAATATGATAAAAGTTAGGGATGGCCTCATAGATCAATGAAAACTAAAGCTGTTTTCATGAATCCAATAATCCAACTGAACAAGTGTAACATTGGAAGAAGTGATCTTAAGTAATTCAGATAAATATATTATTTTATTTCTGTTATTAGAAAAAATCTGTTCTGACTGTCTCAGCAATCACAGAAGGATAGGCAGTTGTGCAAGGACTGAATCAAAGAAATGTCCTCATTAAGCTCTCTCTCCTACAATGTTCCTGGTGGCCTCATGGTTAACAATGGACTTATCATCAAATGTGGAGGGGGACAACTTTGTACAATCTCTGTGGGCTCCCTAAATACAAAACACATGCCTGAGCACAAGAGTGACACAGTGATAACAGATTTGGTTCTCTGCCTCTAGCTTTCTGATCTCTGGAACAGTAAAACAAAAAGAGAGGGTCCATTACTGAAGTGGTAGTTTTCATGCAGTGGGAAGGCTGGAACTAATAAATTCACAGAAGGCTCCTGCTGGCTAATCTGCAAGTTCAGAAGCATCAGGTGAGACTCCCCATGCTAACACTCACAGATGGAGTACGATTTCAGAGTACAAAATGTCAGAGAAAATGAAAACACAAGACAGAAGTCGTTATTGGGTGGTATCTAATCTAACCAAATAAATAAGTAATTATCACCACTGGGCTTGTTGATCCGGGTCCTTTTTCGTTAAGAGGTATATAGATGTTTTAAATAATATATTAAAATATTCAGCATTTTAGTCATGTTCTGCAAATACACAGTAGAAATGTCAGCTAAGAATTTTAAAATGCTATTTTTGGAGAGGGGAGAAAAGAGGACTTGTGTATTGCATTTTTAGTACAAAAATAGCTTGCAAAATAGAACAGACAAGCTTATGTTGTGTTTTATTTCCTTATGCTTCAAGTTAAATGCAGGATCACTGGGCAGAGATTGGGAGTTAGTCTTTACGCTCTCTATAACTCATAATATGCCTACTGAATTGATTGAAAATGGAAAATGTAATAGAAATAATATTACCTCATTTCAAAAATATTAGGGGTTTTTTTTGTTTTGTTAAATGTTTTCTGGTGGCTGGATTCTTGCTGCTAAGCACACTCCTGTAGGTAGTAGGAAAGGGCAAAATACATGTTTTTAGCACTGCAACTAAATTAAGGAGCTGGAGAAAGTTTGGAGCATCTTAATTTTGTTATTTTTTAAATTACGATTTCTTTGGCTTGTTCTAAGACTATGAAACTTTGAATTTATCATGACATAGAAATAAAAAACATGGCAAGTGGGGCTTTATGAATTTCATAAAAGCAACTGCCAATATTTTTCAAATTGTCAGAAATCCATTTAGTGATTTCTGGCAATATGGAAAACACTTCCAACTATTGAGTTCTCTTTTAGTTAATCAGCAAAAAGTAAATTTACCAAGGCCAAGAGTTCTAGCATACACTTGTGCATGTACGATAACTTTAAGTGCCTATTTAGTCCCATTGAAGCAAAAGGAGTTCTGCCTTGCTTAAAGTTAAGCAAAGGCTACACGTGTTTACAGGATCTGGGCCTAAATTTAGACTTGCCCTGACTTTATTAATCTGGGCTTCTGTTCCTTTTATCTTGCTAAACATTGCAAAGTGAATTGAGAAACAAAAACTCCTATTTAATAAATCAGGGAGATAAATGAAAATAAGCTTTCTTTCTTTCTTTCTTTCTTTCTTTCTTTCTTTCTTTCTTTCACATAGTCCTATTTAGGATATTCACAACTTGTATAACCTCCAGCTAGATCTCTGAAAATATAGTTATTTAACCTCTGAAAATAATCGAAGATCACAGCTATATGTCTCACATTAAAACAAATCACAAAAATGGCAAAGAGGGTAAGAGGGAACAAACACTGGGTTCCTGACTACAAATAGGAGCATTCCATCCACTTGGCATTTAATTTGGTTAGTGTTGTGTGAGTTTAATATGCCCTAATTCAATATAAAGAAAAAAGTATGAGAAAACAAGGTTGGCTTGGCAAAACATCCAGTGTTTTTCTTAAATTCTTATAATATCAAATACTGAAAAGTTTGCAAGTTACCATGTCAATTTTTTTAAACTTTCCCCCTGTTGAATAAATGGACGTAGTAAATGTCCCCTGCACATGCCACTAGCACAGTCTATATTTGCTGTTATTCTGATGTAAAAACAGTATCATTGCTTAAAAAGAAAATACTGTATATGTGTATGCAACTCTAGACAGCACATAGAAGGTTATTCTGCTGTCATCTACAGGCTCACCGAATTACGTGGAGCTGCACATGTAATATAGTAGAATTTTGCTCAATGATTTTTAACATGTATTTTAAATTTTGCATTTACTAACAAATGTGGTGAAACGTGTTTAGAGAGAAGTTTAGTGATTCTGCAGGTTTGTGTTCTGAAATGGTCTGAAAGAAGATCTAAAACTTACCACACAAGTCAGGTCTCTTGATACATCCACTACTTGCTGTGCTACTTGCAAGTCCATTAAAGGCTGCTAAGCCATCAGAGCTATAAGCTCTTAGAACTGACAACATGTTCATCTGCTTCTCAAGGACCTGTGGACCCTGTACTTGTTCAGGTTTCATCACACCTTGTGCAGTTTCATGGGAGGAAAGAAGATTCTGGCTGTGCCACTGCTTTTCTGTTGTTTGTGGCAACCGTGATATTAGTCCTTGTGTTGGTTGTGAGGTGACTGCGATTTGCAAACTGTCACCTCCTTCATTGTTTTCTTTATTTAGGGCAGACAAGTGCTTGTTCATAATATCGTGTTCTGTTTCAATGTCCTCATCTTCAATGTTTTCTTCCTTGGAGGATTCCATGTCCTCAGATGAAGCTATGTCAGACAGGTCATCAGCAGCACTTTTATTTACAGAGTCAGAGAGCAAAATATTTGGGTCATCTTCACATTGTGATTTTACTTCAGGTTTGTTACTGGTGCAAGAATTTTGTGCTCCTGTGCCAATTACACCAGGATAAACACCAAAGTGCTTGTAGAAGTTTGTTGTAAAATTACAAAATGTAGATTCCATATGGCTGGGCCAGACAGCATTCTTTTGTTCTCCCAGCATTTCTTTATTGTGTCCTTGGGTCATTTTTTCAGAAGCTGAGTCCAGCTGGCTAATCAAATTTGAAACTATTGCCTCTTTGCTGGACTGCACTGAAGAGGAGAGCAAACTGACTTTGTTTGCTGATGCTGAAACCTCCCTCAATTGATCTTTGCTGTTTCCTAAAATATTATCTTTACGCTTAGCTTTGCCTAAGTGATTGGCTTGGAGATGTAGAGCCATTAATTCCATAGATGACGTTGTAAAGGAACAAAATAAGCAGCCATGCCAAGCAATATTGTCTTGAACAGTAACAGATGAACCTGGAAGTGAGGCAGCATCTGGCCTCACAGATAAGTCAAGGGGCTCGTACTGTGACTTTTCTGTTTTTCTTTGTGAGGACTTGGTAATTATTTTATCCTCGCCACTGTCTGAGCCCAGAGTTTTTGTGGAAAGTGAATCAGATAGGCCTTTATCCTTCATTTCTTTTTCTTTCTTTAAGGAACTTAAGACAAAGCTGTCCATGAAAGCTTGCAAAGACCCTTGGAAGTTCACACCATTTCCAACCATGCTCTGATATGCTCGGCCAAGTTCAGAAAAGTGTGTTCCTTTGGAAGATATGTCAGAACCTTTCATATTTTCTGAAGATACCTCAGAAGACATGCCAGCTGCTTGTCCTTGTTGATCTCCAGCAGAAAGCATTCCTGATGTCCATTGCTGAGAGACCATACCACTTCGGAAATCAATACCAGGAAGACCCTTGAAGGCACCTCTCAGTATATCTGGTCTAATAAACAGAGATCCTTTACTTGATGTTTCGTCTTTGTGTTCCTGACTTTGAGACTGTCCAGGAAGAGGTCCAGCTCCATTCTGCCGCTCCCGGTGGTGCCGTTCCAAGTGGTATTTGAGGGATGCAGACTGAGTGCCTGCATAGTCACAATGGGGACACTTGTAAGGTTTCTCCCCTGCAAATACATATAAAAAAGACAAATATATAATATAGGTTATCTGTGCTTCAATCTGTGGAACAGTTCAATAAATCAACATCTGTTCTTTTAAAACAAAGAAAAACACCTTCAGTTACTATCTTTTAATGATATTTTAAGGAAAGAATAATTTATAGTTTTAAGATCTTTTAAATAATTTTCTAGAACATTAGGGCAATTCAGGAATGCATACTATCTATACACAATTGGCTATCTTTTTCTTAATGTAACATGTAAAAACTTGTAAAATTACAAGCTATGATTATGAAAATGAAGCATAACGATTTCAACCACAGTAATCATTAAAAGTACAAGTTTAAAAAAAGAAAGAAAGTGTAACAAACAAATGGCTGCAATATTTTGTGTATACAATCGCTTTAAAAATTTGTTTAAATTATACACATGGAAACCATTTTTAAACCTAAAAATTTTATGGCACTGTTACGCAAGACTGAAATGAATGATTTAAGGCTTGCTCTGCAGTAAATCATGGATATAATTAGCAAATGGCATACTGCACAAGTAATTTATCATTATTTGGAGGGCACCATTCCAGAAGGATTCAAAGATCTGCAGACCTACTGCATTGTTTCTAAATAAAGAACTATAAATACGGATTCTATAAAATATTAATATCATTACAGTACATTAGGATTGCAGCACATAAGAACATATAGTTAAGATAAAAGAAGTCAATAAAATTAAAAAGAAAGTGAGTAATAAAAAGGTACAAAATATATTTAGCTTCTGTATATGAAATTAACATTATCTACTGGTTTTTGCAATGCTTTAAATTTGTACTAATGGCATTTCTAATGCTTCAGTAGTAAAATGTGTAATTTACCTATAATAAACACTTTTCTAGAGAGTAAGAATCAGCTTAAATTGTATTTTAAAACATATTAGATGATTTTCATGAATTAAATATATATTTGAATTCAATACTAAACTTTTATTGCTCTTTCCATGATTTAAAATAACTCCAATATTACATATATATAAAATATTCACATACAATAATAGTTTTACATATATCCACAAAGACAATATGTCTAAATAAATGTAATTTTAAATATATGCAGAGCACTTGTTAGCAGTCAAGGGTGCCTTGTTGACTTGAGGGCAGAAATACTCAGTGAAATATACAAGAGTTTGACAGCACTGTTAGATTTTTTTTAATAGTGACCTGTCAATATTGGTAATTATTTCTATGAGGGACCTCAACAAGACAAGAAACTGTTTTCTTTCTAGTCTAAAAGGCAATGGCAAACCTTCTGTGAGCACTACCCTGGAAATAGTTAATTTTAAAAATTTCTCCAGAATACTAGAAATAGTGCCATCTTAAGTGTGTTATCAAGCTCATTGAAAAGTCACTAATTCTTGAGTAACCACAAAAATCGATTTAAAATAAAAATGGACTTTTTAATTTTTTAAACTAACAGCTCAAATAAAAGTTTGGTAAATACTTAGTTTTTTTACACTTCTTGCTGATCACCTGAATGATCAGATGATCAAAATGAGTCTACAACACTACCTAAACAGGTTTACTGTCCATGGACAGTAGCTGAATGTGTTCTGTAGCTCAACAAGGGCTAAAGAACATTATAAATACTCTAGCCATGGTCCATAATGTAATTATAAGGCATGAAGGCCTTACACTGCCCAACACCTATTGTATGATGATGCATTGTCTTCTACAAAGGTAGATTAACATGGTTTGCATAAGAAATGGTAACTGATATAATTCTTACGTTAAGCCACACATTTTAACACAAGAATTCAAACTCCAAGTTTTAGTTCAATTTCTGAATCTTCAACAAATATCCACTTAAGGTCTGAAACCCCACCACTGCCCTCTTTATCAGCCCAACTATCAGCTAAATTCTAGTATGTGCTGTACATGAAGAACCTAACAGACAACCTATACCAAGCAGTAGGAGGCATAAAGCTGAAATGAGTAATATCTATTCTAGCTTCCCCTCAAATCCAAAGAGACTATGCTGCCAACCATCTTCTACCGGTGGGGAAAAAGAATCAAAGGTCATGTTCTGCATATTTGTATGCATCTATAATCTGAAATGGCAATAGCCTCTATGCACATAACCTCATGCAAATTATTAATTTCAGGAGCATGAATATTCTGTGATAGCTCTGCTCCTCACCAAAATACAGACACGCACATTTGTTTTACAGCATACTTGTGCTCCAAATTTTGGAGCCAATTCATGTTGTCCCAGAGCTTTGTTTCTATTTGTTACAATAAATTAATTATGGGGCATCTAATACTCTGTGACAGAAATTATGGATTGTCTAAGAACTAATCAAGTGGCTGTTGAGAAAAAGACTCTAAACTTTGTGTAGCTCAATACCTGCATTTTCTAATCCCCATTCCTCTTAACTGAAAAACCTCTTTCACAATATCACCTATACCTATGCAGAAATGTTTAAACACAGTTACTTTTACCATTTACATTTACAGTAGTTTATATATACTGCATTTCAAGTGACATCATTAGAAATTGTGCTCTACCATTACAGATACGATATCAACTGTTGGGTAGCATGCATCTGTAATGATGAGACATATTCTACAATGTAGGCTGTACTAATGATGCTATAAACATCTCAGGAGGTGCTTAAGGCAATAAGTATATTTAATAATGGGTGCAAGAAAATTAATATGCTAACTAGAGGAAATACTAATACTAATATGATTTGCACTTATAAAGTGCATTCCATCCAAAGCATTCTGCACTGACAACATACTTTTATTTTTAATTGCTCAGCCCTGAAGATATTCAATTTTCCCCACCTTTTCAAAGGCCTCACTGCAGAGTTCCCTTCAATAGAAGAGTCCTGGACATAGCTCCTGACACATTAAGAGGCCACCCACTGAGATAGCATGATTCAAAATGCAAATTTCTATTAGAGTTGAGTCTATAGCCACTATAATGCTCCCATGTTTTGCCGGATTGGGCACAGGGATTTAAGTTGAAAGCTTGATCTCTGACCTATGATATGCAACACATTGAGCCACCTTGGGCCTACCAAACTGGGCAAGGGAAATATTACACCTAAAAACATTTTTTCCAATCTCAATATGTAAAGTTATTATTACAGTTCAAAGATATGCACATGCTAAATTAACTATTGCTATTTCAGTGGCTGGCATTAGGGAGGAAAATTCAAATGCAAACCTGTTGCATTTAGATGCTCTAACAATCTCTAAATTAAAGATTTGGTCACACATTTAAATTATCTCAATCTATCCAATTTGACAACTAACATGCCAAATTTCAGGCCCAATGCCATTTGCAAAACTTCTCCAGCCCCACCAAAGATATACAATGAAAAAAATCACCAGATATTAACGTCTGTGATTCTGCCATATTTGTTTGTCTTTAATGCTTTTAAAATATTTCAGAAAGCTCATCCTCATGTAATGATTACCCAATAACACTGCCAAGAACAGAGTCTGGGTGAGTTATTTAACACTTAATTTCAGTTTACATAAATTAAAGTTGCCAAGAGGGGGTGTTGGAAACATTCAATTTCAAATATTTGATATATGCAAGAGTCATTGTCCATGATTCAGAATGGGACTTTTTGTCTTGATTTTGCTAATTCTCTAACCTATATGCTTTTGCACAAGCCTTTTCACAACCTTGGTAAAAACTGTCCCGATATGTGGTACAAAAACCATGGATAGAGATGCAATTTAAGCAACACAATCAAAGTTTTCATCTAACATCTGATTTACAAGATGTCATATTACAGATCTATTTAGTACCAGGATATGAAAAAATTAAAGACATCTGTAAAAGCTTTATAAACTCCTGGTAGACAACTGGAAACAAACTTGTTGTCCATTGCAAAGAGTATCTATGGCTATAGGGTACTGTATAAGCCTATCCTAACCTTGATGTATAACTTATTCAGGCTACTACCAGTTTTACCTGATGGCTTAATATGTAATCTAATCATTTTTGCAAAGGAATAACCTATTTTGGGGTTGTGGTTGGAGGCCACTGCCAGATTATTCCCAAGGCAAGAAGAAACAATTATGATCATTTATACTGATCTCATGCAAAACATAGGCGAAGGAACCTCACACAATAATTTCAGCATCAAGCATACATGTTAGAAAAATAACCAGTCTTGACATAAAAACTTCAAGTAATGAAAAATCCATGTCCCTAGGTAAACTGTTCCAAATATTAATTACTTTCAATGTTCAAAATTTGTGCATTACTGCCAGTCTAAATTTGTCTCGATTCAACTTCTAACCACTGCCTCTCATTCTGACTTTTGCTGCTAGATTAAAATTTTGTCAGAACTCCCTTGTCCATGTAGATACTTGCGGACTACATTCAAGTCACTTCTCAGTAGTCTCTTTAAGAAACTAAATAGATTGAAAACAACAAAGTTGTCCTGTAGCACCTTAGAGAGTTACTCTGTAGTGCTACAGGATTACTCGTTTTAAAATTTACAGACTACCACAGCTACCCCCGCTGAGACTTTTAAATAGATTGAGCGACTTTCATCTGTTTTCAAGACTTGTAC